AGGGACAGAGGTAAAAACAGCCCTGCAGCTCCATGGCTTCTTTGCGTGAAAAAGTGAAGGGGTTTCCCTGCAGAGCAGAATGGTACTTTTGAACACTGATGCCCTTTTTCTCACATATGCATTGGGCCTCCAGCATTTTTCTTCCTGTATCTCCTGGAACTGCTCCACCTGGCCAAGCCCCTTGGGCTCCCTGCGCACGGTGCAGCATGGAGCTTGTGGGGAGACACCACGAGGTGAGGTATGGCAGAATGATCCCCCGGCCCCCTCCACAGCCCTTCCTCTGCCAGGCATCCCTGCAGAAGTCACCCTCCTCATTTTTAAAAGCCCCATCTCCTCTCCTCACAAGCACCACCGATTACCCAGGACTGGATGCAGAAGAAAACTAAATGCAGCAGAATCTGTCCTTTCACAGACATGCTGCAAAACACGTGTTCTAACACGTCCAAAATTTAAAGAAAGGAAAATAGAATCAAAACACTAATTTTAGAGAGGGGTTTGGCAGGATGCTGGCTTTATCCGATCAGCCTGCTTTATGGGATGCAGAGCCTGAAGTCCCAGTTCTGCCAAACAGAGAGAGCTCCTCTACCCCAGATTAAGCCTTAGGTGAAGCAGAAGAAGGACTTGGACCTGACAATCCCAGCCTAATACCTAACGTCCCAGTTCTGCCAGAGAGAGCTCCTCTACCCCAGATTAAGCCTTAGGTGAAGCAGAAGAAGGACCTGACAATCCCAGCCTAATACCTAACCACCGGATGAGAAAGAGAGTTGTTATGCTACCACCTACCCTTGTAGTAATATTATTTTGCTGTATAAAATCCACTGCGAATGCAATTTACATGACAAACATTCCCTGCGGGCTAAGCTTACATCACTGTGTGCTGTGCAGGTTTGGGATGCGCCACCTCTTTCCAGACTGCCGGAAGACGGAAAAGGGAAAGTAAAGGCTGAGCAGAATGGAATCAGTATCGGCAGGATCTGAATCTCCTGTGAATCTTATTTGACGTGAGCTGTGGTAGCTTCCTCCCATTTCTCCAAGGAGTCTGTACTGGTTCTGCAAGCTGCTGTGCATACATTATCCTGAAGCTGCTTGAGTTCCTTTTTGGTCGCCGCTGCGAAAACAAGTGAGTTTTGTAAAAAACTTAAAGCAACCAAGGCTGAATAGGCATATCCTGCTTAGATGGTACAGGTATGAACTTAAGTTTCATCAGAGGTTTGCAGGTTGTGCCAGCCAGGAAAGCTCTGTTTACTTTACATCCAGCGAGCAAGGTTATTTTCATGGCAGCATAGAATAATTCAGGTTGAGAAGGGTTCCCTGGAGGTCTCTAGTCCAGCATCCTGCTCCAAACAGGGTCAACCATGAGGCCAGATCAGGTTTTATCCAGTCAGGTCTTGAAAATGTCCATGGATGCAGAGTATTTTAACAATATTCATTGTCAGGGGGGCATCCTGGCTTGCAGGATGAGTGATGGAAGGTTTATTCCACCTGAGTGGCCCGTATTAGACACTGCACCTCAAACACTGGCTGTAGTGACAGCAACCGTGGTGTGAAAGCACAACAAATACCATTTGCAAACAATCCTTTAAGCCACAGGAGTGCAGGGGACTAGCAACCCAGCCAGAGATGGCAAGGTGGAGAGTGAGGACCTTGGGAAGGAGCAGTAGTGGGGAAGGACAAATAGGCTGGGTGAAGCTGCCAGAGGTTTGGGAACTGGACAGGATGCTGAGACTGTGGCTAGAAACTGAAGGAAGAAACACGAGCACGGGCTGGAGAGAGAGACACAAGGAAGCAGGAGTGCACACTCAGTGGACAAACTTAGCGCAGAGGAACATTGGGACTGGTGGGCAAGGAGATGGGGAAAAATTAAGTGGGAACACTGAGATTTATCAAAGTTATTTGAAATCTGAGCTTGGGGACACGTAGGACTGAAAAGAAGGAAAAAAAGCCTCTGCTGGGGATGGGTGGGAGGGCTTCCCTCCTTCCTTGACTGCTCCAGGCACAGTTAGCAAATGCATTTCCCTGAAGGTGAGCAGTATGGGATGGATGACAGCATAAGTTCAACTGTACACATACAATATAAGCATGGTAAATGCAGTTAGTGTCACACCGTTTTGGAGCTCTTAAGGGGACAAGGGGGCTGTAGAAACCTTCAGGGTCATTTAGTCTATAGCCTGACAGCTATATCCTCCACCAAGGACACCTGCGAATGTGTCACCTGTAGGGACTAGGCAGTGACTCATCACACTCATCCAGTACCATCCACTGACCTGCCTCGGGGTAGTCACGGCCTTGGTTAAAGGCGTTGGCGCTGATTAGTCCCCGTCAAGTCCTGTACGGGCACTTCCATCATCCCCAGCCAGGCTAAAGCTGGTACTCTCACATCCCTCACACCTCATGGGTACGAGTACTCTCTGCAGCTCTTCTCCCTCCTACCACCCTTACCCACAAAGAGATTAGCTTGGATAGCTGCAAGCAGGAGAGACGATCCAGGCAGCCAGAGTCCCAAGGCACACTTGTTAAGGTAACTATTTTCTTAAAAATAAGTAAGTAAACTCTGCTCTCCACGGTATCTCCTCTTCTTCTTGCCCACCTGCAAGTTAGCCCGTGGCCACCCTGACCAGCAGGTGCATAAAGGGGAAGAGCACTTTCCCTCCTCCCTGCTGGGGCCGCGGTGCTGCTCCTGCAACTCTTGCACACCTGGGAAGGGAAACCTCATCCCTGCAGCTGAGCTTCCTGCACCCTCGTGACAACCCACAGCGAGCCCCACTTGCTGTGCCAGAGTGGATGGTGGGCACAGCCCAAGCCCAGGAGAGAGAAGGCCCACCTGGATCATTTGTACCCCACAGAGCCCTCCCAGGGACCACAGTCCGAGGAGAAGTGGGCCTCAGAGACCTGATCTCAGACCTCAAGGGAAGCCACGTCTCAGGGACAGTGGTCGTAGTCATACTCTGGCCATGGTAGATGTGGCGTGCTGTGCCTACAGGCAGTGGTCCCAGGAGAAGGACCCTTCCCCAACATCTTTCCCCTCCTTCCCAGCTTTCTCCCCAGTTGCCCAGCACTCTTTCAACTCAGGTTTAAGGTAGCTTATTTAAAGATTTCTTTAATTCTCTCCCTTTTAAAAATCATCTCTACTTCGATAATTTTTTTTAACTAACCATTTTTTAAGTGCGAACTTTCTACCCCAAGCTGCCCGCTGGCAGCGTCTCCCAAAGGGGGTTGCCTGTTTGTCTTCTACCGCAGCGCGGGCAGCTCCGGCCGAGGCATCTCCCTGCTCTGCCACAACACGGGCGCCTCGGGGCCGAAGCGCACGGTCCGGATTTTGGGTTCCCAGCTCCCTACTTCGGCTCCCAGGCAGAAGCAGGTCAGTCCCTCAGCAAAGCACACCCTTGCTGCGGACCCTGGCTCCGAAAGGAGCCAAGACATCTCCGCCAGGTCCCTTTGGGATAGGGGCAACCTCTCGGGCAC